CTTTTGACTCTTTGGTCAAGTCATTGTCTTCTAAATCCTTTGAGGTAATTCTGTATTTTGCTCCACAGAACAATTTGCTGCCTTTACACCCAACTAATGAAAATCCCCAAAGAAGTCTCTTCTGGCTCTGTTTTATAAACTGTAGGTGTGTCTGCATGGTGTCAGCAGAAGAGAAAATATCTTAGTCCCCAGTGAAACAAAAACTGAACTCAGATTACCGCGAAAAGGGGAGGCTGTTGAAATTTACAGTCTCTGCAAAGTCCGAGAGAGTAAGTGGAACATGGGGTGATCTGACAAATGCAAATAAAAGTGACTAACTGTTGCATGTTGTGCAAACAGCCCAGAAACCAAAGCTGCACTTCCAGGTGGAGTACATTTACAACTAATTATAGATATAGTTCTGTGATTAGGATTAGATTGTGTCTTTTGGGTTAGGGTTGGAAAAACTTCAGTACTCAATAAATGAATTAATTGAATCATCAGAATGGAGACACTTTCTGTTAGATATGTGATGGAGGTGTCATGTCGCCTTTGACAGTTTTGATTATGTAAACCTCAGCAGCAGTAGCTTATACACTCCAGGTAGCAGTGAAGGGTGAAGCAGTTCTCACACCAGCAACCCCTCCTTTCCCTGAACAGCCACACCCCACACCGCACACCTGTTGTAGCTGAAGGGCAGAGCCTGTTCGCCTTCATGCCAGGCAGGTTCTCCCATAGAACCCACCCCTCCTGTGAAACTTGAGCCCCACCTTGTCAGGGCCCAGGAAGAACTGACTGCACAGTGCAGGACAGTGAGTGAGCATGAATGAAAGAATGAAAGAATGAAAGGACAGGAGGCAGTGCAGGGGGTCAAAGTGAACTCAAAAGCATAAGAAGCTATGCTCTTAGTTGACTGTTAACATAAAGTAACAGAAACACACAAAAAAAAAAACCAAAACTTTGAGAATGACGCAGAAGGCAGAGACAGGAAAGGACCGCTGTCTCAAAGACGAATACGATGGTGAAGAGGAGAGAGGGGGACCTTTCTTTGTTGGAAGAAAGCACAGAAATTCAAAGCAAAGGCTGAATCAAAACTAGGAGGGAGGAAGCCGGTTTAGGTATGGTGGACAAGCCATTCAGCTGCTGGTAACATCCAAGACGTGGAGGATAACCTCCTAAACCGAGGAGAAGGCGGTTCTCCTGTGATAAATGTATTTGCTCCGTGTTAACAGACAACTCGATGAGGGAAGGCGTCAGACAGAACTCAATTATAAGTTCTCTCTCAAGAGCTGCTCGCCGGCGGGCGATGACCAGAAGAGAGCGAACTGGACAGCAGCACAGACGAAAGCCCCTCTAGCCCCGCAGTTTGGGGCGCTGGGCATGATTAACAGTTTCCTATGTGAGCAAACCTCCCGCAGCTCTCTTCCTGTTGTTGGCTGTTACCATACTGTACGTGAAACACAAACAGAAAAACTCGACGATTTCTATTTCAAAAAGAGCACAACTTTAGACACTACTACCCTTACAAAGGTTTTGCCTGTAAAGCAGTAGTGGAATTTGCATATTTAGCAACAAAAGCAATTGTAATTTCGACAACAAAAGTCGGGGTCTAGGAATCCACCCCCAAATGACTAGAAACCAAGGCCCAGGCACAAGGTCCTAATTAATACTCATAATACAGTAACGCAACATGACCATACAGAATGGAAAACATGCTTTTCTTCTGGACTGGTCAAGCCTTCAGGAGGCAAGGACAGAAGAAAATTCAGTTTAAAAGACGGTTACCAAATATCTGGTGCCCAGCCAATGTGGCCGACTGGCAAAACAGTGTTGCTCATGGCTGACCGCCTCTATACACGCAGAGAATTCCCCACATTCCTCAGCCTCTCCATACAGCTGTGTCAGTGTCATAATCAGTGACAGTAACTGCAGGCAGAAGGCCTGAGATGAATGTCTCAGGCCAGCAGTACAATAATGAAAGAGTGACTTTGGGAACACATTTTTTTTTTCTCAGGGCCAGTTAGTTTTTCTGATCCACCCCTCTATGTCTTCATCAGATGAGCTTCTCGGAAAAGCAGGCGTGTAATCAGCCAAAACATCGGAAAAAACATCAAGGAAAAGACAACAATCTTCCTTCACTGTTTTTTCAGAGTAAAATAGGATCTTACAATTAATATAGATAACATAAGATAAGATAAGATCACTTTATTAGCCATTTACAATTTCTTACATTAGTAATTTGTCTTTTCGCATACCCCAGCTTGCTCTCCATGAGACACACATAGGGATTTCACTAAAAAAGTAGGTTTTAAGTTCTTTGCATCTCATCAAAAGACTCCATGCTGGTATACAAGTGTTTGATTTAGTTTGAATCCCTGATGCATTCACCAGATTTTTTCCTTCCAGTGTTTGTCCTGTTTCCAGTAAGTTGAGTTGTTAGAACTCAGACCTACCCTGTCCCCAATGCAGTAGTGTACAGTCAGCACCTGTCAAAATGGAAACAAATGCTCTCAATGTTCACATGAAATTTTTTTAGCGTGGTGAGGCAAGTATATATTCTACCTAATATGCTTCTGATTATAAGAGAATCACCACTTCGCTCACCTCTGAAACCTTAACCAACTGATTAAGATATTTCCTTTTCTATCTCTTCTCTGTTCCAGTAAATATAGAACAGATTTTTAACCCACACCCACTTACAAAAGCAAAGCTCTGCATTGTTTAAACAAATGTCATTCAATACAATAAACCACATTCAGAGGAGTTTGTGTTGTAGACAGGGCACAGTGCACGGTTTAAATCAAAACAGACAAGAATATTTGACAAAAAAAGACTAAGCCCTTATTTCCACCATAAAGTGAGACACATTTTGGTGAAAGCTTCACCATAAAACATAACATAAACAGATTTTTTAAATGAACCAAGCTGCGCTAGCTCCATAATGCCTTTGGACTTACAGTATTTGAAATGATCTTATAGTCTGAGAGGCCTCTTATGAACAGTTGTTAAAAAGAGGATACACAATATTGGGTGTCATTGCTTCTCATATACTGTATCTGTCAAGTCTTTAAATATAGCACCGGTTTACTGGAGAATGTGAAAAGAATACTTAAAGCTAAAAGTAAAGATGTAAAAACAGACCACAAAAATGACTGTTTTAATTTGTGAAGTTAGTTTCAGGAAATTATTACTATGTTGCTACTTTGTGCTCCGAGAGAAAATACACTCTGGAGGTGTATCTAAATATTTACCACAAATAATCATGCCACAGATCTAAACAAAAGGATCACAATGAAGCAGATAAGCACAGGACAAAACGTGTGATGGAACAGAAACCTTGTTACTTTCCCTGCATTAAAATGACAATAAATAAAAGCCCTGAATGTTTTCACAGACGTCTGCCAGCAGAGGAAAGCAATACACCCCCTTCATGACAGCACAATGCTTGAAAATGTCTCCAGGCTCACTTGATGCGAGTTTCAAGATGTCTATTTCATGACTTCCACCAAAAAAGAAAGCTTGGATAACCGTTTCCAGCGAATTTAAAACATTACGGTCTGTCTTGGTCGTAAAACACAGGAAACAAAGAGGGAAGAAAAAAGGCTGAAAAAAAAACTTTGAGAATGACGCTGAAGGCAGAGACAGGAAATGAACGCTGTCTCAAAGACGAATGCAGATGGTGAAGAGGAGGGAGGGGACCTTTCATTGTCTAAAGTAATCACAGAAATTCAAAGCAAAGGCTGAATCAAAACTAGGAGGGAGGAAGCCGGTTTAGGTATGGTGGACAAGCCATTCAGCTGCTGGTAACATCCAAGACGTGGAGGATAACCTCCTAAACCGAGGAGAGTCAGACAGAACTCAATTAGAAGTTCTCTCTCAAGAGCTGCTCGCCGGCGGGCGATGACCAGAAGAGAGCGAACTGGACAGCAGCACAGACGAAAGCCCCTCTAGCCCCGCAGTTGGACAGCAGCACAGACGAAAGCCCCTCTAGCCCCGCAGTTTGGGGCGCTGGGCATGATTAACAGTTTCCTATGTGAGCAAACCTCCCGCAGCTCTCTTCCTGTTGTTGGCCTCTGTCGGCGTGGCCTGGCGAGGATAACACCGCGTTTCCTCCCCTCAGTGCCCATGTTCACACTTCTAGGTATGTGGCACAGTTTAAAAAAAAAAAAGTCACCACTTAGTTAACCTCCCCTTCCACTGCTATCTTATGGGTTTTTTTTAAGCATGTAAGAACTGACCGTTACATGCTATTCTCTCTTATAAACTGGTATTTATAATTTATGCCTTGTATGGTCCTTTGAACATGAAATTCTAGTAAACATTAAAAAAAACTTTGGAATAGGTGTGCACTAATTATTTCACTAACGTTTTTCCACGAACACAGCGGTGGTCCCCATTTTACGTTTTTAGCAGAGGAACCCTTCTGTATTTACTGTATTTAGAAAAACAGGGCAGTAGAAAACACTTGATCGATCCAAATTTCAGCTGGTATACTGTTTGCTGAGGGGGCAGTTCTAAGAAATCAATTTTCTTTGCCTGATACATCACCATGGCTGCGTCGCCGTGGATCAATACTCCGTGCTACGAACCGATATGCCTGCTAATTCAGCAAGATGCACTGCATTCACAGACCCAGCGCGGCTATATACCGCGGTACTTATTTTCACCTTAATGAGTTTTCACTTTCTCAGACTGAAAACATCACACCCACCTTCTGCTCACGAATTAAACACAAAACGCGTGTTCTGTGCCTAGATGGTTTCTAAATGCTGATTATGCTTTTAGGACTTCACAAAAATAGCCAACAGCATCACTTCTATCAACGGTTACCTCGATACCTGCAGGTTTGTTCCTTCCACAAGAGACCGCGCATTTATTTGCGCTCAGGCAAGACTGTGCCACAGCAGGCTTCCTAGGGAGGCTGTCCATTAACCTTTTCCCCTTTTTCTTTCAGTTTTTTTTTCCCCTCAACCAAAACAACAATCTTAAATTCCAAACCACACCCGCTCCCCACTCTCTGACGTCCCGGCGATGGGAGGGGATCCGCGCTGCTGGTCGAGTCCCACTTACTACTTGCTTTCAATCAGGTTTGGACTTGCATCACTCGGTCTCCGCATCTGGCTCCGGAGTTTGAATCGACCTGCTTCCAAGACAAGTTTCTCTGTAAGTGTTCTTTCAACTCCTATGTGTTTAATATAGATGGGAAGGCACTTACTTAATGATCACCCCCCCACCTTTTTTTACGAAGTTGTATTCAGAGCTATTTAATACAGCACTTAAGCATTACAATAATGTTTAGCAACGGTGATAAGTGAGAAAAATAAAGAAAACTGAGTTTTACATATAAAGCATACGAGGGTTTTATTTTACTTTTTACTAAAACGAATTGTTTGGTTTTAGTGAATTCCTTTCTGATATTGTTAACTGAAGGGGCGTTGTCCCGTTCACGTATCCGACTCCGTGCAGCTGTTATGCAAACTAACACACTGAGGCTAAGAGTGAGACTTGTACTACAAATTTCAAAGTTAACGCGTTTTTCCTTGGAGGGGTTGCGTCTAATCGTGTTTTTGTAGATATAGACCCCCCTCCAGGCATATACATGTGAGTTAGTTTCTCTCATCAGTTTTATACTGGGAAAAACCGCAAGAGACAAACCAGAAGTTGTTATTTTGAAAGTCCGATTATAATTCTTTTCGCAGCCCCTTTTCGTCTCCTCTGCTCTCGTTATGTTCATTTCTGGAGATACAGAACTAGAGAAAAGTTTTGAAGTTTAAAAAATGTTTGCCTTCCCCCCTCTCGTTACGCCGCCTGCTGGTTGCAGTCAAGCGGTGCATGCTGTATTCGCCTGTCTCGAGAGATTCGGTGACATTATTCCAAGTTTATTTAGAATTAAATCAGCTACACCCTACCAAGCCTGTCCTTTATTTTAGCTGTGGTCAGCAGGAATTAAGAGGATCCCCGTTCGCGCATTGAATGTATCGATTTGCAGAATGTTTTCGAGGGTGTGATTGTTGGAACCGTTCATTTCTTGGCTTCGAGAGAACATTTACGAGGGTGGGCTTCAGACTCGGAGGATATGCTGAAAAACCCTGAAAAAAAACAACAACAACCCATTTTTTAAACGTATATACTGTATGGTTTGGAGGTAGCATTGTTGTAGACGATTCTGTGCACGGTCTTATTATATATTTACATTAAGATTTACGTTAGTTTTGCATTTATCCCCAGGAGGTGGGGGAGGCTGGATATGTAAAATCCTAATACACCAGCCTTACTATAATAAACCATGCTAAACTACGGTTCAATCCAAGAAACCAAAATAAACCATGGCGTGTGTACTTTGTTATACCACTAATTATGCAATATCATGGTTTATCCTGATGACATAGAACTGTGGGATACTTATTCTGTGAACCTTTTTCAAGTGCCTCCCGTTTGCACATTTCCAACCAATCCCAAAGATCCAGGTGTACCACCTGTGTGCTTCTCCTATACTGTAGTAGTTGTGTAGCAATCTGACCGACTCTTGTGTGATATCAGTAGTAGAACACAGCATGTGTTGTGTTTCTGCGCACAACACAACTGAACAATGCCCTGACATCCCAAAAGTCGGGGATTTTGTTTTTATGTAGTTGTGCTAGGATTTCAAAAGCTTGATGTGAAAGTGGATGGAAATGCAGCACACCCAGTTAACATAACCATAAACACGCCAGCCCCTAAACATTAATTTTACAGGCATTTCAGAATTCAAATGTCAGTTAGGAAAAACAAGTTAAAGGAAAACACGTTTTCTGTTGGGGTTTTTTTTTTGGCTTACATTTTCATTGCTACTTAAGCAACACCAAGGGTTGAATTCACTGGCCGTACTTGCAGAATAGCTCCTAATTCTCAACGAATGTTGGCAACTGTTGTGAGAGCTGGTCTTCTCCGCGCTGCCCCATTCCCCAGTGCTGCACAGGAAAGCTCTGGGGGCAGGGATCCTGTTGTGCTTTCTTGCCTTGTGAAAGGTCTCCGCGTAGTGGATTTCCGGATTTGTCAGGTATGGAGTTACTACACAAACAGAGCAGACTGGGAGAGGAGAGCTCTAGGCTGCTCTACACCACTGACTTCAGTTTTTATTTACATCTTTTCCTTCCTCAGCTAAAAGTGTGATTCATGTACAGTGCACAAAAGAGGTGATTGATTCATATTTCTCCACCGTAAGCATGCCAGTTCCCTATGTCCTAGGCTGTCCTATCCCAGGACAGGGGACTAAGCATCACCAGATTTCAGATTAAGAGCTGGACTGTACGCATGCCTTAAGTTCTCAAGCTACCCTAGAGTTAGTGTTCAGAGCTTTATATATGAGCAGGAGGACCTTAAAATCCACAAGGAATTTCACAGGGAGCCAGTGCAGTTTACACAACATGTGTATTCTATGCTGATACAGAGCATTTTTTGTTTCTGCTAGTACACAAGCTGCAGAATTCTGGACATACCAAAGCTTACCTTCGAACATACCCTGCCCAATAAGTAAGATTTTGCGCTAGTCTAATCTTGTTAAAATAATAAAGGAATGTGTCAATATTTCAGCATCAGCTGGGCAGAGAAAGGGTCTTGACGGAGTAAAGTCACACAGGTGTTCCTAACGTGCACTTGGAATGACAATGCTGTAGCGTAAGTAACACTAGGTTTTCTCAGTTTTATCAATGGCAGATTTCAACACTCTGCAACAACACTGAAATCTACAAGTAATGCAAAACCTAATGTTGGGAGATTATGAGCATAATCTTAGTTTTGCCTAAGTCAGTTTAAGAAGGTTCTGTTCTTATGGACGTGTTCATTGTAGACGGGTCTCTAGAAAGCACCATAATTCTATGGATCTTTTGCGTTAAAAGGAGGTGGTACAGCATATATTACAAAATATTTTTTCACATCTCAAATTAATCTGAAAACTAACTTTGAGAATACTATTACTGCTGTTAGTTTGTTGACTTGCTTTACTATGAAGCAGAGAATGGATTTTGCTTGTGCTGAATATTGAAAGTGTTTTGTTCTCAATGCTTTTGGAGATGATGTCGGAAGTGTGTGTATAAGAAATTGCAAATTAAATGAACTTGTTTAATTTTGGATTTCAGACAAACTCTCTTTAGATCTGGGAAGGCGGACACGTTTATCTCAGTTTTTCACCTCAAGTTATTGTAATTCAGATCTGAGGGTGAGGTAGAGAAAGGATTTCCCTTGCCTCTCTCTTTTGCAGTGTGCGGTATTAAATCACCATGAAATTGCTGCACATAACTTGAAACAGTATGAAAACAGAAAAATAGCAAAGGTACTTTAAATAATGGAACCGCAGTAAAAAGAAACTTTTAAGAAATCTAAAACATAATAAAAACAGTTAGGGATATAATGTACAACAGAGGCTCAAAGGAGAAAAAACCTTCTTCCTTGGTTTGTCCATATAATAGCTGTTTGTCTTTGCTTTTCAAACTAAGAATTTTAGGGCACATCTGGGTTTAATAAGATAGACTAGAGGTCACAAGCTAGTGTGTATCTGTAAGGGTGAGTCAGGAGCTTTTCAATCCTTGATATTGGTAAGACCTGAGAGAAGGATAAAACTTATTCTTACTTGCTGCCAAAGGTAAAATTAGCTGGTGAGAGTAGCCTCCGGTATCTGGGATCTGGGGAACCTGGCAGTGGCACAGTGGCCACGTGTAGCTGTGGAAAATAAGCTCTGCTCTCAGGAAAGGGCTGTTTAAACCACAGAGCAACGGGGGTGGGGTGGGGGGGTGCCGAGGGTCAGAACTAGTGCAGAGACTACTAAGCAGATATGGGCACATGTGGCTTGAAGATTTATAGGACTGTAAACATAAGCAGTTGCCACTCAAATACAGTAGACCTTCTGAAATCTGGTGTTTGTGTGAGGAGGCGAAACAAACGTACAGTTTCTTTTCTGTCAATGGTCAATAGTCTGTCAGCGTGCAAAAGAAAATACAGACACTCTTGGGATGTGCAGCCTCTCCTGTGCTAGAAATTGATGTTCTGTCATCGATAATGGGTACAGCCTGTAGAGAGGGGCTCTGTCCCTAATTGCCTTAAGAGGAATAAGAGAATCTGCCTTTGTTTTCTCGTTGAGGTATTTATTAAAGTAAAGAAGAAAGTCCTCTATCAGCTAAGAGGCATTTTACTTAATGGTAAAGCTAATGAAAACCTAGAATGAAATAACAGAACAAAGATCAAACCCACAGTAATTCAATTATTATTGATTGAGAGCTGGGGGACTTGTTTATATGTTCTTACTTCTTCTCTGAAGCACGACATACATTATCTCTGTGCTTGTGAGGGCCTTCATTGACTCTTATTCATTTCTGCCTTTTATTATTGTGTGCTCCACTGAAGTGAAACTTAACAAAGGGAGAATGCAGACCCCAAACAAATTGTCTTGGTGCTTTTAAAAAAAAGAAAAGGGCATTTTTTAAAGTAATTTTAAGAGCTGTATGTACATACACAGATGTAAAAGGTAACAAAAGTCTTCAGTTTTGCAGACAGAGATCAAGGTCTCGTTTTAAAAAAAATCATAAATCAAAGAGTGGAAAAGGGCCTTGTAATATTCAGTGGATTAGAGGCATTATTTACACTTCACGGCCCTCACCTGAGGAATTTCTTTGTAATTCTTTCTTTGTAAAAAAAACAAACAGGCTGGAACACCTGAGGTTTTCAGTTTTGTGTCTGGCTTTACAGCAGTTTGTCTGGGAGATGAAAGTTGAAAATCGTTTGCGTTCTTTGTCAAAATGCTTTAAGCACAGCAGGGTTGAAAGGATTTAAGCAGATATAAGGGGCTGTAGAGCAATGGCCCCCTAACAGTCAAGTAAGAATGATTATATTAAGTTCATAATTGCTAACAGAACACTTACAGGCTAGAACAAGAGTCAAGTCTACAGACAGACTTGTCAGGAACAGGAAGCTCTAGAGCACTGATGCAATCGGTCAATGTAATACAGGTAGAAGTCAAAAGGTCTTATTGTACTCAGCTGGTAACACCATGATTGTATTAAAGCTAAATACAGAATGAACACGATGCTGGAATATCAGCCCATACTTTCTTGCCAGGTGAGGAGCAAATCACAGAGGTGCACCCTGCCACAGCTTGGCACCTGGTGCCAGTACTGCTATTTTTGTTTTTT